TTTGTCCTCAATGGAGTTGGTTGGCTAACTATAAGTCTAGCTATTTGGGAAAAATTTGGATTGGTTGGAATCGAGCTTTATCTGATATGGAATTGATATAAGAAGATGTTCAAGCAATGCTAGTTCAAGTGAAACATATTGTGTCTGGTAGAAATTTTTTTATTACTGGAGTTTATGCTGCAAATAGAGTTGAAGAAAGAAGAGATTTGTGGAAATCTATTAGGGCTCAAGCTGAAAAAATTTCAGGCTCTTGGATTGCTGTGGGAGATTGGAATATTATTAGATATAGTCATAAGAAGAAAGGTGGTCTGCGAGTTCCTCAATGTAGATTGGATGAATTCAACAGCTTAATTCAGGACATAAGTATGGAAGACCTTCCCATAAACAATGGTGAATGGTCTTGGAGTAATAAACAGAACTTACAATCAAGGATTAATGCAAAGTTAGATAGAGTTCTTGTGAATTCTCAATGGCTGCAGCAATTCACCGATTCAAAGGTTTCTCTCACACCTGCCTCTTTGTCTGATCATTATGGTATGGCAGTTCAATGGTATTTTGATTGCTCTCATGGTCCAAAACCTTTTAAATTCCTCAAAATTTGGTGTCTACATGATGAAGTTGAATTCGTTGTTTGTAAGGCATGGGAGAAGGATGTTACAGGGAGTCCATTACATATTCTACAAAAAAAATTAAGACCTATGTAGGCAGATGTTAAAGAATGGAACAAGACTAAGGGTACTGTTTCTAAACAAATCCAAGTAACTAGAGATGATTTACATCTAGCTCAAATGAAATTGTTGCATCAGCAAGTATATCAAGATTGTATAGACAGAGAGAGAGATCTGACAGGTAAATTGCAACAAGCTTTGAAACTTGAAGAAATTTATTGGGCTCAAAAGTCTAGGATTAAATGGCTGCAAGAAGGGGATAAGTGTACTGCTTTTTTCCATAATGTGGTTAGACAAAGGAGATGCTCAAATTCTATTACTCAACTGCAAAATTCCAATGGTGAGGTGTTGGCTAATAATCCTAATACTATCAAAGACTGGTTGGTTACATTCTATTATGAATTGTACAAGAAACAAGGAGACATTGTGGCTGCGCTGAAGACCCCAAGAAAGGTTCTAAGTGATGAAGATGCTCAGAGTTTAGACTGTGGTATATCAGCAGAGGAAATTAAAGGTGGTGTTATGCAATTTCATCTTGATAAGGCACAAGGTCCAGATGGATTCCCAGCCAGATTTTATCAACATTATTGGAGGTGTATTGGACAAGATATGATTAATGCTGTTAGTTACTTTTTCACTGAAAGTACCCTTCCACAAGGTATCAATTCCACATTTTTGACCCTCATTCCCAAGGCAAATCATGATGACAAAATTGCTAATTACAGGCCCATTGCCTTGTGTAATTTGGCTTACAAAATTATATCCAAAATTTTGGCAAATAGGTTGAGTAAAGTTCTTCCCAACATCATTGGTCCTGAGCAAGTTGCGTTTATTAAAGATAGAAGGCTGCATGACAATACTCTGTTAGTATCTGATCTAATTAATGGATTTGGAAAAAAACATGGTGATCCAACTATTGCTTTGAATGTTAATTTGAAGAAAGCTTATGATTCTGTTGATTGGGATTTTATTCAAAATGTTACAAGGACATGGGTTTAGTGACAAATGGATCAAATGGACTAATGTTTGTCTTAATTCTCCAAATTTCTCAGTTCTTTGTAATGGTGTTCCAGCTGGTTTCTTTTCTGCTTCCAGAGGTATAAGACAAGGCTGCCCTCTCTCTCCTCTGTTGTTTGCATTTCTTATAGAATACTTCAGTAATTTGATGGAGACTGTTATTGTTGAGGGTAAGATCAAAGTGTCAAAGGTTGTGTCACAGAAAAATATGAAGATCTCTCATACTTTTTATGCAGATGACCTCTTAATGGTGGTCAAAGCAGACATACCTACTGTCAAAGCTATTGATGAGCTTCTCCAACAGTTTAAACAAGCCACTGGACTTCAGGTAAATAAAGAGAAAAGTTCTATTATTTTCTCTAAATCTGTCAGAGGTAGAAGAAGGATCTCCAACGTCCTTCAATTTCAAACTGAAAACTTTCCTTTCAAATACCTTGGCTTACCTTTGTCTAACAACAATTTAAGAACTGGTGATTTCAGAATGCTTGTGGATAAAATTAATGGGAGGTTAACTCATTGGAATACCATAAATCTATCTATTGTCAGAAGGATTGAATTGTTGAGGTCAGTTCTTTATTCTTATCTGTATCACTGGGTTTTTGGATTTAAAATTCCTTGGGAGGTCAAAGTTGGTTTAGAAAGGAGATTCAAATGTTTCTTGTGGAGTGGAAAATCAGATGTTAAAAAGATTTCTCAGTTGAAATGGAGTCAGGTGACCTTGCCAATTTCAAAGGGAGGCTTTAATCTTAGGAAAATTCAAGACATAGATGTGGCTGCCAAAATGACTTTATGCTGGGATTTTGTTCAGAAAAAGAATAAGATGTGGATTCAGTGGCTGCATGCAAGGTATCTTCAAAGAGTGTCTTTTTGGAATGTTGTTCTAAACACTACTGATTCCCCCATTTGGAAACAAATTCTAGGGGTTAGACAATTGATTTTACAAAACTTGGTTCAGAATTGGAGATGGGCTGCAGTTCAGGTTGCTTACAGATCCTTGGTGTGAAAACCAATCATTAATCCGGAGGTTTGGGGCTACATTGTTTAGACAAGTGGATAGAAAGACTTTTTTAGCAGACCTTATTGTCAATGGAAGATGGGATAGACCTGAGTTTATACCTGAAACAGTGTTTAGTGTTATTCAAAGGCTATAGATTGTTGCAGGTTCAGATATTATAGGCTGGAAAACTGGTAGTTTCTCTCTGAAGGCAGCTTAGAATTCATGTAGATTCATAAACCCAACTTTGAATTGGTGTGATCTCTGTTGGAAGCACTGCAGGCCTCGAATTGCAGTGGTGGTGTGCATTATTTTACACAAGAAGAATTTATCCTTGATTAATTTGCAGAAACGAGGGATCACTATTACTGCTATATGTTACAACTGTATGAGGAATGTGGACTCCAATGATCATCTTTTCTGTACTTGCAATTATGCTCAACAGGTTTGGCATGAGATTTTTTCCCTTCTTCGCATTGATAATCCACATTGTATTTCTCTGATGCAAATGGTGGAATGGTTTGGACAGCAGACCACTACTGATTCTACCAAATCAAAAGTGTTGAGCTCAGTTTTTTCAACTGCTATTTGGAAAATTTGGGTTAGTAGAAATGAGGCATTGCATAATGGAGTTCAAACTCAACCTACTCAGGCTGCTCAGTCGATTATATGGGAGGTTTTGTCACATCTCAAACTCAGATTAGAAGACTTCCTTCTCATTTTTTAATGAGGAAGTGTTTTCTGATCTGATTGATTATTGCTGCAATGTGCTAAGGAATTTCAGTTTGCAGTGTACTGGACCATATGCTCATTCTACTTCAGAGAACCATTTTTTGGTTTTTTGCTATTTTTTTTCTTAGGTTTGGTTTGTTTTTCTTTGCAAATGGATATTTTCCATTTTTTTGTTTGTGTTGAAGGTTTTTATACCTACTGTTGTAATTGTACTATTTTGCTTTATTTATTAAAAAAAAAAAAAACAAACTCTGCTTTTCGTCGCGGGAGTGAACACATTGTTGTAGACTTGGTTTTGGAAATCGGCTTCCAGTGGTGATCGGGGGTTCCTACACATTCACTGTTCCTACTGTTGTTTTTTTGCATTAGCCAATAGATTCAACATATATGCCGATCCCCATCAAGTTAGTTTAAACATTCTGATTGCCTTGCCATTATCTAGTTTCTGCATTTGCTATTTAATAATTTTCATGTCTATCTATACTATTAATTTTTTCAGAGGTTTCTTATAACAATGAGAGGAATACAAGGAGCTCTCTTGATTGCATCCATTCTCTCAATATTAGCTGGTTTGCTTGGTATATTGAGAATTATTTTGAGGTGGGTCTTTGCAGAAATGACATTATGGATTTGAGCAAGTTATTTTGATACTGCAATTTTAAATTCTTAGTTACATTTTATCTGATGATGTAGGCTCCTTAGTCGTCTTTCTGCCCTCTTGTAACACTGATTCGCCGGAGAAGAAAAGAGGAACCATGTCTGGTGTGAAAAGACAAAAAGAGGACAAAATTGTGGGGGACAAAATGCAAAAATGTTGACGTGGGAGAAGGGGTATTTTGGGGATTGGAGAACTTTTATGTGGTCCAGTGGTGTTGCTGGTGGTGGTGGTGAGGTGGTGGTGGTGAGACGTGGGTGAAGGAGAAGAGGTAGAGAGAGAATCAAAAAAATAAAAATATGAGGGCATTATTAATATTTCACATTCATGAATTTTATAATTTTTATAATAAATTAATAAATAAGGATAAATTAGTAATTGTATCACTTAGCCAGTGAACTTAAATGGAGTATTTTGCTTGCTTTTAATAGTTAAGGGGACAACTTGCTCCCAAAAATAGTTCAGGGAGCATTATGCAACTATTGTATAGTTTAGGGTTTGGTTTTTTGCTCTTTTGTTTAAAAATGAACTATTAGATATAAACTTATAAATGTATTACTATATATTTAATTTTTTAAAACATAAATAAAATAGCCTTTTATAAAAAAAGTGTCATGTTATTAAACGTGTTTTGTTCAAATTTCTTGAAACGTAAGGACGTTTTCATGTTTCTAGTTCCGAATTTCTCAAAACAAATTTTCATTACCAAATATGATTCCAATTTCTATTCAAAACACTCCTGTACAAAACGATTGTTTTCGTATCAACTAAAACCATAATGTATATCAACTAAAACCATAATGTATAAAACATATCGCATACCAAAACGGGCGTTTAGAGATCATGAAAAATTAGATACCGAAAACAGTTTCCTCAGAGGGCAGACAAGGTGTTCAGGATAGCGCTTTAAATTGAAGTAATAAAACAGCATACATTTCAGTGTAAACAAATATCATTTCAGTAAATGTAAACTGCACATAATGCCGCATAAACTCAAGGTACACCTCTTCTATTGTTATTAAGCATCAAGGAGACATTCAGATTGTACTGTGATCCCAAATGAAGGGAAGGAAAAAGAAGAAAAGCAACCTTATGTTCTACCACCTGATCTACTTGATGAGTGACAGGTAGATATCGGAAAGCCTCTGCTAAGTTGTTCCAAAGCTCAAGAAATAATAGAACAAGAAAAGATAAGATGCATCACATCTTCTAAATGTGAATGGGCTTGTCATAAGTGGCCATGGCAGCCTCCTTCAATGCCTCACTCATTGTTGGATGTGCATGGCATGTGCGTGCAATGTCCTCACTTGACGCCCCATATTGCAAGGCCAGAACTGCCTCATGAATGATCTCCCCAGCATTTGGCGAAATGATGTGGACACCCAGTATCTTGTCACTCTCCTTCTCAGCTATTATTTTGACCACTCCTTCCGCATCATCAATTGCCTTGGCCCTGCTGTTTGCTAAGAAAGGAAATTTTCCAACACGGTAATCAACCCCAAGCACCTTCACCTGCTCTTCGGTCTTTCCAACAGATGCCACCTCCGGGTGTGTATAAACAACTCCAGGGACCATATCATAATCCACATGGCCTTCCTTGCCCGCTATGAACTCAACACATGCAACCCCATCTTCTTCTGCCTTGTGGGCTAACATTGGCCCAGGAATAACATCTCCAATTGCGAAGACACCTGATACATTTGTAGCAAATCGTTCATTAACTAAGATCCTACCAATCTTATCCATTTCCACTCCAATCTTATCCAACCCAAGTCCAGCTGTAAATGGAGTCCTACCAGCAGAAACAAGAACAACATCAGCTTCGAGTGTGCTTTGCTCACCACCAGCTGCTGGTTCAAGAATCAACTTCACACCATTTCCAGAAGTGTCAACTGAAACCACCTTAGTTTTGAGCATGAATTTCATCTTCTGCTTCTCAAGGGTACGTTGAAATTGCTTGCGAATTTCACTATCCATGGTTGGAACGATGTCCAATGCAAATTCAACAACAGTAACCTCTGAGCCAAGACGGCCCCATACAGAGCCCATCTCAAGGCCAATGTATCCAGCTCCTATGACCACAAGTTTCTTAGGGATTTCTGACAAAGCTAAAGCTCCAGTTGATGATACAATTCTCTTCTCGTCAATGGTGATCCCAGGTAAAGACTTGACATCAGAGCCAGTGGCAATAATTATATTTTTGCCTTTGACAACAGTATTCCCACCTTCAGGGGTGTCGACAGAAACTTCAGAAGGGGAGATGAACTTGCCATAGCCTTTAACATAATTAACTTTGTTTTTCTTTAAGAGACCTTCAATACCACGTGTTAAGCTAGATACAGCTTTATCTTTTTGGCCCATCATGGCAGGTAGATCAACCTCAACAGAAGGGAACTTCACACCATGACTGGCAAATGAATGCTTAGCTTCATGGTACATGTGGGATGAATGAAGGAGTGCCTGAATGTCAAATATATATAAATATACTAATTTCAAATGTAAATAAGTTTATGATACAGAAATCAATTACAATAGAGTACGTTTAAAAGCTAGGTAGCCTGAAATATGAACCTATTAATTTATAAAGAGATAGTTAGACAGAAAGCTAATATTTCAACCACAAGATATGTTTCATAAGCATCCTCCACGACCATCAGAATCTTCCCAACACCAAGCTTTCAATATCTTCGAAGAAACAAATTCAAGTCAGTTTAAAGTACGAGTGAAGCAAATATCAGTACAAACCAGGCAACTTAACTTTGAATTTCCAAACAGTCCCAACACAGTTATCCAATTTGATTCCAGAGATACACAGTTATTTAATAGATATTAATTTTTTTAAGTATTAAAGTAAATTATTTTGGAAGGAAAAAAAAACCACTTAAAGTCCATGTTGAGTTGGTATATTAGACCACATGGTGTGCATCGCCTGGTAAGTCTAGCTAACTCCAAGAGATATTGCTAAACAGCTAATGCATTCTCCCAAACTAAGCCACTTCTTAGAAAGCATAGAGTAATAAAATGACGCTGACTGTATGTCACTAACACCCAACGAATTTTCAATTCTAGAGGTAATGGTAGAAAAGTTAAGTACATATTGATGAACAGGCTGCTTGAATCAACAAAACTCTATTTCCTAGAAAGCATTTAGCAAAACAAACATGCATTCTCTGATCACAAACTTTATGATAGCAAAGTGATTCTATAGGTATTCAAAGAGTATATTTGTATCAAAGTCATTTCTAGTGACCATGCGTGGTTCAACTAACCCAGAGACCATGCTCTGTGGCAGCTTAAAATTAAATTTTAAAAAACTGACACAACTGCAGTAGTTAGTTCTAGTATGAACTGTTGAGTCAAGTAATGCATTCTCTGCCCATTGATTATAACAACTTTTTTCTGCCCATTAGTTAGTTCTCTCACCAAAGCTACTTAAGAACAATTGTAAATCTGATATGGGGTCAAATATAATTTAACATTTCAAACCAAGTGACAGTTGGCCAACATTTTTTTCTCAGAAGGTGGTTGACCAACATTTCTCTACATGAGATTCGTGTTACATGGGAAGAGGGTGACCACTGATTTCCAACACCTTTTCTTCTGAATTGGCTTCAGCGGTGCCACTTCTCTCACCAAACCTACTTCAAAATGATCATAAATTTGATGTGGCATCGTTACAATTTAACATTTAAATCCAAATAACCATAGACCAACACTTCTCAACATCAAATTAGTGCTATATGTGAAGAAGGTGCTCAAGAAGAATATCATTTTACTTCAATTAGAAAATGAGGTATGTTCTGGTGTGAAATACAAGTGTGGAAAAACCAAAGAATTAATGCTCCGATGATCTCAAGCTACTTTCATTTTCCCACAAACAAAACTAATAAAATGTTTTACACCAAAAACTATTATATATATATATAATTTGTTACATAAAAAAGCCTTCTCATTTTCCAATATTTGGTTGAAGTTCTGAAAATGACTTGCCGATTCTAAGAAAATGCATGAAAAACAATTATACAAGCACATATTTACATATAGATGCAAATATAGGCATTCCACATGATGTACATATTGGTTAGCATATAGGCATGTATATGAGCTAGTATATAACATTATAACTGTATATGAGAATATGTATTTGAGTGTGTAAGGACTGGAACCCTAGACTCTGATGTAGAATTCCACAAGGTCCATGGCCTAAACGTCAATAGGTTTTGTTGATTGGTTTAACTAAATTACCAAAATTTCAAAGTCAAAATAAAACTAAATATCAAAATCCATTGAGTCCATCATGCTAACCAATATATCAATCAATCATCAATAATAAATCAAACCAAAAAACATAATGGACATTAAGATTTTTTTACGTGGAAAAACCAAACGGGAAAAACCACAGGACTTACTCCAGGCAAACCAAATCTATTTGGAGAAAGAAGTTTACGCTATGTTAATGGTTATCAAACTTTAGAATCCCAAGTTTCCTCTTAACACAGACTGATCATCAAACTCTCCACTCATCACGCGATCATTTTCCAACAGGTAATTTGATTTCCAATGACCAGATGCCCAACTCCATCTCAGTATGATTGAATTGTGTTGTTGGTGTTGAACTTCTCAGTTCAGTTCTACACCAAATATGTAGTCAAGACACTTATATAACACTCACCAATTCTAATGAATGCTAGAATGCACTCCTTTGCCAAAAAAAACTCTCAAAATATATGTCTCTCTATGTATTCTTTGTGTCTATGTTTTGCCTTATGATAGTATATTTATAGGCAAAACAGTGTTACGGAGAGAATAAGGTGTTTAATATTTGTACCTAAAAGGAAACTAGTTTTTCGAACAGCTTGATCAATCGAGAAACATGTCGATTGATTAGAATAAATCCTGGTACCCTCGAGCGATAGAAGTCCTCTACAGTTCAATAATTAGAAATTTCCAACAAAGGTAGTTTCCCAAATCACTTTATATTACTATCAAATAAGATCTTCCAATCAAAACATGAAATCTTAAGACCCTAATGAATGAATGCATGATCCCTAATTGTGTTGAGTGCATAGAAGTGTCATTTTACCTTTATATCCTTGGTGTAGAAGATTACGCATTTGCCTTTGGTTGAAACATGAATTCCATCTTCAACCATGACCAAGAGGTAACTACCTTAACACCAACTAACTTTAAGAAATCTAGATAAGCTAAAAATAAAACAAAATTACACACTAGTTTTAATTCATGAAATATGTCAACATAAGTCCTATTGACCTAACAAAGTGTATATTCATGGATGTGTATAAAATTATCATATATTTCTGTGTACACATAATTGCATATGTGAGACACTGGCACATGTACATATGTGGTTATATATACATGTTTATTGTTTGGGCATTTGAGTCATAAGTGTCTATTAGAAAAATGACTTGGGGAAGAAACTTTATGAGGTCTTGCAAGCTACTTTTACTTCTTCAAAATTCTATGTATCAATAAGAAACTACTTCATTATTAGTTAAGAAGACGAGGACCAATTAACTTGAGGAAAACAATAGGATGAATTATCCTTCAAGTTAAGACACGCATACACCCATATAATTGAGAAAGCTTATGAACAAATCCAGAACTAGTTGTAATTCTTTAGAATTACTTAAATATATGAAATACAATCTAAATTATATAACATTTTATTGATAATTTTCAATTTTCAATTACCATCAATCAAACCCGCAATTATCAAATGAATATTCATAAACTTCATCTAACTGAAAGTACTTTTATCTTTTAGCAAATTCATCAAAAAATCAAAATATTGCACAAACCCAATGCATAAGAACTCCAATAAATAGAAAAATTAGATCTGACTGTCAGCTGTGAAATGGATTAAACAACAGAAATAAACAAATTGGAAACTATCACAAGTATCGACAACAAATACAGATATATCAGAAGCCCTAAATCGGATGAAGAAGAAGAAGAAGAAGAAGATTGGGTTAAGAATACCTTAGAAGGAATGCAACCCACGTTGAGGCACGTGCCGCCGAGCGCGCCTCGCTTCTCTATACAGGTAGTCTTGAGTCCAAGCTGAGCGGCTTTAATGGCGGCGACGTAGCCACCTGGGCCGCCGCCGATCACCACGACGTCGTTGTCGTCAGATCCCGACGCGAAGCCTCTGGAGAAGGAGGTTAGAGAGAGAGAGTAACGAAGAGCGTCGGGGGAGGAGGAATTGTAGAGGTTCCTAGAGAGATAAAGTAATGAAGAATTTCGCCGGACAAAACTCGCCATTGCCATTTTTTTCTTTGATTCAAACTGTCGCACAAAAACACAAACCCTTTGAAGTAGTAGTTGTAGATATTTGGTCTACAAAATACAAAGCAGCCTTTGAAAATTCTTAACATGAAAGGAGAACAGTAAAAATGACCTTTTTTTAATTATATTTTTCCTTTTTTTATTTTTTTTAACCTGTAATTTTATTTTTAGTAAATCATTGATGTAGTTTGTATTTGTATATTTACTATTTCATAAACTAAAAGTGATGACAATCCCTTCTAAAAGTTAAATTTATATTTTCACCCCTAAAATTTATGTTATGCACAATTTCTTCAAAGAAGGCCTTTACAAATTCTATAATATTTTAAAATAGCACTTAGAAACTGTTACGCTATACAAGAATCCAAAAATACAACACACAGCCTTCGACTAAGAATAGAAGAACTTAGATCTAGAATTATTCTTAGACAGAATATACTAGAAGCTAAATGACAGAGATTTTAATTAGGTATATGAACAGAATATATTTTAATAACCTAGATACCTTGATAAAACGATGAAGAGAAAATTTCTTTTATATTAAAGCAACAGTTGAACAAAAGTCTAGTAACTTAGATAATAAAATTATAATTTCTGCCATTAAAGATATAAATGCTGATATAAAAATATAGCAGAAAATCAAAAAATAATTATAGACTATTGAAAATCATTAAAAGAAGATATCCAAAGGTTATTGCAATAATTTATGAGCGCTAGTAATCCTGATTACCTACAATTATTAGCTGAGCTTTATAAAATAGATAAAGAACCTATAAGATTTACAAGTTTCACGACAGACGTAAAATCTACCAATATATATATTAGACAAAATAACTTTTTAATTTAGCTATTACTCCAGTTATCTGAAAAGGTTAATAAACTTGAAGAAAAATTAGAAGTATTACAAAATAGTATCCCTGGAGAATCTTCTAAAGAAATAGCTAAACTCTCAGACAAAATAAAAGATATAAAATTATCAACTAATCATTTCTCGACTAAAAGCACTAAGTGACTAAATTTATTAGAACCATAAAAGGAATGACCATTATTCTTAAAAACGCCAAAGAGATAATGTGTGTAAAAGATTTATATGATAATGAACAAGATGCTCAAAATTATAGAAAAAGGAATGAAGAAAGTATCCAATAAAGTTAATCTTTATTCCAATAACTTATTGGATTTCCAGAGCAAAATATATAATCATCTTAGCCAAAGAAGAATAAGTGTAATTAATAATCAAGTCGTATTAGATCTCATAACACCAGAAGCTTATCATGAATTAGAAAAATCTAAATTAGATCTTGTGACGACCTTGGATTTTTCAACCCAGTGTATCATGTGATGACTCGAATTGGATCCAAGATGCAGAAGCTAGAAATAAGACAATAGTCTCCCAAGGCACAACACACCTCTAAGACCCTAAGATGACCTTCCCTAAGGTCACGGAACCCAAAGGGATAAGTGCGGAAGTAAGAGATCAGAAAGATAACAATTAAGCCCCCAGAGGCAAAATAGTCATTTATGAGAATATAAATTCAAGTGCCACCGAGCACACCGCTGGAAAAACAACGAAAATCCAATCATATGGACTTAAGAATCGCATGATTCGGAGTCTGAACAAAGGAGAAATGACAAAACGAAGAAAAATGAGCACTTAAGGCTAAAAGGGTAAAATGGTAATTCCAAACTGAAATTGCGACGGCCCTGGTTTTTCAAGCCAGTGCGTCCTGTGATGAACCGAAAATTGACCCGATAATGGATCCGAATGCGGAAGCGAAAATAGAAAACAAGACTCTAAGAAGTTAAAGTGACATTCCATGAGGTCGTGGAACTCAATGAGAACTGATGCGGAAGCAAAAGATCGAAAATATAACAAATAAGCCCCAGGGGAAAAATAGTCATTTCTGAAAACTTTGGACTCGGGTGCCACCGAGCACACCGCTGGAAGGACAACGAAAAACTAATCAAGATGGACTCAAGAATCGCATGATTCGGAGTCCGGATGAAGGAGAAACGGCATGACGAAGAAAAATGAGTACTTAAAGCAAAAAGGGTAAACTGGTAATTATCCAGGAAGATTCGGGTGCAACCAAGCACACCGTTGGAAAGACAACGAAAAATTAGTCAAGTTAAAAAAAAAGTTCACTCGATTTGGAGTCTGGATGAGGGAGAAACGAGGGTTTGAGTTGAGACGTCGCGGCGGCCCGACGAAGGCCATGGCGTGCCCGGCGCCTATGCGCGAGCCCACCGACGCCCATGCCGGAGCCCAATGGCATAAACATGATGACAGCAAGAAGAAAAAATTGAGTGTCCAGAATTGAGGCTTGAAACGGAGGTCGAAACGAGTTTTTCTGGAAAAACACGAAGAAGAAACCCCCCCTAAAATCGAGTTTTCTACCCGACAGTGTGGACAGAAAAGAAAAAACTTCACTGTGAAATCCCCAAAATGCCCCTAGATCAGAACTGGACAAGAGGCAAAAAGCTGCTATAGGATCTGAGAGCAGAAATGGGCTAGAAGATGAATTTTTCTGGAAAAACACAAAAAAGAAACTCTTCCTGAAATCAAAATTTCTACCCAAACCTAAGAGAAAATGTAAAAAACTCACTGCAAAATGGCCAAAACGCCCTCCCAAGAAATCTGGCCAAAAGAGCTAAAAAACTGCTAAAATGAAAACTGGAAGCTGAAATTTCACGAGGGATTTCCGGTATCAAGACGATATTTTCTGGAAAAACACGAAGAAGAAATCCCTTCCTAAAATCACGTTTTCTAAGTGACCATGTGAAGACCGGAATTTATTTTCTGAAGGAAAACCCCAAAAGGCCCTAAAATCAAATTATGCAAAAAAATTTTTAAATGAGTCCATAGGAGGTTCAAATCACAAAGGAAATGGTTTTTCTTGAAAACGATCATGTACGCAAACGTAAATGATGATTTTGAGCATGCGAGAATGGTCCGTGGCTCCCAGAAATAGCCGAGTCAAAATCCGACCCCCCGACGGCCAAAAAGGCGAAAATTTACTTGAAATGGAAATTATGGAAACCAAAATTAGGAAATGGTTTCAAATGACCGTTTGGCCCTTGGCCACACTTCATATAAAATGAATGAGACCTAGTGGAGGTGCCAGAACACACTTTACACCACCCGATTTGAAAATGAATCCTTAAAGGCTTGGTTTATACTATTTTAGCCCAAAAATGCAATATGTGAACTAAAATGCAAAAATGAAAACTAAATGGTGTTTGGCCCTTGGCCACACCTCATACATATTAAATAAATGTTAGATAATGAATTTCATACATAAAGCACACTCCGGTGCAAAATAACATACTAAAACGCATGTTTTTTCACATATTCTCATTAAAGGCAAAAAACAACTATTATGAATAAACATGGACTTCAAATGAAATTTGGCCCTTGGCCTTATATCATATACATAAAATGAGAATCAAAAAGTGTGTTTAGGCACACATTACAAGTTTAGAATCAAATATACACATTTGACAAATAAGGCTACAGATGGCATTTCAAGCCAACCTTTACAAGAATGGAACCTTCAAGTCCACAAATCATCCGAGCATAATGAGAATCTCAACCTTGATTCCTGTACCTGAAATATACCCTAGTAACTTTGGGGTGAGTAACATAAAGCTATTCGTAGGAAATGAGCATGCATTGACCTAGCATTTTACAATTTTATCACCTTAAGGTAAAACATGTCAAAGGGGCTCATACCACCTAACGTGTATGTTAAGATGAGACTCAGGGAGCATCCTAAGCTACCCTAGATCATTTCTAGCACAAATCACATCATCCATGCAATTCAAACAACATAGGAGCATGCTATACAAAGCAACATGATATAGATTCTCAAAGTCATCAACTTGAAATCTAATATACAAAAACGACAAAGGTGGGTCATGCCGCCTAACGTCTATGTTCCAAATGAATCTATAGGATCATTCCTAAGTCACATTTGAACAATAAAACATGAATCACAATATCTATGCAATTTAACTAACATAGAAGTATGCTATACAAAGCAACAAGATGTAGATTCTCAAAGTTATCAACTTGAAATCTAAAAGTGCGAAATCAACTAAATATAACAATTTAGTATAATTAGAATTTTTAATACCACACATCAAGACATAGATTCTCTAGTTATCAACTAGAAATCTAAAAATGCGAAATCAAATAGTGGAATACTTGGACATCTAAGCTTGGAATTCTGCCGAGACCTCAACGGCTATTACGGGCTATTACGGGCACTAACCCACTGGTAATACCACCCCTAGTGCGCACTATCTTGAAGGGGAGAACTCATACCTCCCGCATTAGAGCCAAACTCTAGCCATATCATAGTAATAATGTCCCAAGTGATTCCAAAATAAATAAGTTTACAACTTATATACGAAATATATATAAAGCATGAAACTACATTCCATGCACAAGTAGGTTATAACCACATAGCTCATGCTCTAAATCCATAACTACTATAGGAAGACAAATGTCGAATCTTCAGAGCACGATTCGTTACGCGTTATAATAACATCATATGTTGAATCTTCAGTGTGCGATTCGTTACACGCTATAATAATATAATTCAATATTGAAAACATAAACTGAAGAATTTAATACAAGTCCAAAATCATGATTTAAATATACTTCCAATGCCAAATTCATGATTAATCAATAATGCAATAGAAATGGAAATTAATCAAGTAAATTAATTAATTTCTCTAAGCTTCAAATCTTAACCAAATGGTCCCTAATTAACACATGTTAAACAACATAGCATGGTCATTGCATATACCAATTCAAAAACTTAATTAGGCCATTAAAACAATAAGATGGCATTTAATTAAAACATGATAGTCAAATCCCTAAATTCTAAAAGGTCCCAAATTAACATATGCTAGTATACAAGCCCTAGTCATCATAAATATCAAGTTAAAAACTTAATTAAACCAATGGACCTTTAAAATAGATTTTAATTAATCATTTTAATTAAAATCTCTAGATTTTCATACTCATCCAAATGCTCTCAAATTAAAGTATGTT